CTTGAGGTGATGGAAATATTCTAAAACTGGTTATTCAACTTAAAAATTATCAAATTGTATAACTTAAAATGTGTGAACTTAGAGGTATGGATAAAGCAGTTTAAAATCTTATTCAGTTCACACACTTTGATTTTGTAGTAACTTGAAAATTATTATTAGTAGATACAAATTTTCCTAACTTCAAAAAAAAAATACATTGGGGAGTATTCCAGACTTGGTTATATTACAAAGGAAATATCTCATATCAGTATATCAATTGGATTAATTCTTATTGATCTATTCAAATTTTCTTTTCATTGAACCACTCAGAATTTTATACTTTTTTGTAGTCATGTATTCATTTTGATTTTCAAATATATTAGCATATAGCTGTAATATGCTCTCCTTGTATTTATATCTCATTTTTTATATGGTTAGTCTTAGTTATTTCATGTTTTTTTTTTGTGTGTGTGTCTGTGTGTGCGTGTGTGCACAAATGCGTGCATGTGAATGCATGCATACAGGTACGGAATCTAGGGCCCTCTACCCCTGAGCTACATCCTTAGCGCTTTTTAGTTTTTCTTTTGTGAGATGGTCTTGCTGTTGTCTGAGGCTGGCCTCAAACTTGGGAGCATCCTGCCACAGCATCCCTAGCAGCTGAGATTACAATTTTGAGCCACCACGCCTGGCTTCTTTTTCTCTTTTATCCATCCTACTAGAAACCTGTTCTGTCAGCCTTTTAAAACAATCTTTACTGTTATATTTATTTTCCAAATTACGTTTACTTTGCTCATTTAGAATGGGTTGAGAAATACTTAGTGCTTTATTTTTTTTCTATTTTATGACAAGAGTATTTAAAGATATTTTCATCAATCTCAGGATTTTTACATAGAATGTTTCCATTCATCATTATTTAACAAACATTTCTTAATCCTCTCTCCCTCAAATTTATATTAATACATTATTTAATTTTAACATATGTAGCACTTTTTAAATTTTTCACCAGCTTTTAATATTAGGAAAATTTGGTAAGAGAATAGAGACTCTGATATTGATCACTTGGGATTTCTTAAGATTTTCTTTGTTGCCTAACAACTATTATTTTATAAATGTTTCAGAAAATATGTTATTCTAGAAAAAAAATTATTTTCTGCTTCTTGAGTATTATTTTTCTATAAAAATGGAATAAACTTTAAAAATTTTTTTTTTAAAAATGTAAAAATTCTCAGCATCTGAGAAGTATATTTTAATATCTCTAATTGATTGCTTCTCCACTGCTATTACTTGCTTGTATTTATTGTCTGATTCCTTTAATCTAGATAGATTAGAGTCATTATTGTGATATACCTTCTTGTTCTCTTTTACTTCATGTACTGTTCTTTGTCACTTATGATACATTTTGACTGAAGTCTATATTTAAGTTTTGATATTGCTGTATCTGTCATTATTTTTCTTAATTTTTTAAAAATATTTGTGAGCTTTTAAACTTTGTCTCTTATGATCAAACATGGATTTGATTCTATTTTTAAAAATCCACTTTGAATTGCCTTTTATTTAATTTTATATTATTTAGTTATTTACTTTTGTGGTGCTTAGGATCAAATCCAGGGCCTCATGCGTGTGAGACAAACACTCTACTGCTGAGCCACATCCCCAAAGCTCTAAATTGTCTTTTATTTTGTGGGCTTAACCCATTTACATTTATTGTCACTCTGTTATAGTAGGTCTCGTGTCCCTCAGTTTTTCATATTTTCAGTTACTGCACTAATTCTTCTTCTTCTTGTTATTATTTTTTAAAATTTTATTGGTACTGGGATTCCAACCCAGGGCTTCTCAAGTGCCAGCAAGTCACTTTGCCACTGAACTACATCCCACCCCCAGTTACTGCACTAATTTCTAAGTTTTAAAGTGGATTACTCTTTCTTAGTTTTCTTTGGTTCTGATTTGAATGTAACTATTTAGTTTTATTCTTGTTATAACTACCTTGAACCAAAATCCATACTTTCAGTTATTTACTATTGCTTATATCTGTGTCTGTTGTTACTGCTATCTTTACTTTCTCATAATATGTTAGCTTTTCTCAGTTTAGTTTCTGAAAACACCCTGTAAACCTCCACAATTTTGTTTTTACCAAGAGTTTAGTGGTTAGTTGCTATGGCTATTTAGTTCAGTTGATCTTTCATTTTTGTCATTACCTCTAAATTTTTTTTTTCTATTTGTTGAGATGCTTTTACCTTCAGGACTTCTAATTTAATTCCTTATGTTCTTTAGATTTTCTCTTCTATTTTAAATGAGTTTTCTACTTCCATTGCCTTTTAGTAGAGTACCTTGATCCATTCCTCTGGTTTGCAAATTCATCTATTTTAGCTATATAATTTTTATTCCTTATATATTATTTAAAATATTTTCTAATTGAAAATATGCCACTTTTTTCTTCCTTTATAACTTCTATTCTCTTGTTTCATATTGCTGTTATATTTTTTATCTCTCTAAATCATAGTAATGCTTTTGATATATTATTTTTCTATCCATTCCAACAATTTTGCTTTACTTGATACATGCTGTTTAATGTACTGAATTTCTTTTATGTTGTTTTACTGAGATATACATACATTTTAAAAATTTGTTCTTATTAGTTATACATGACAAAAGAATGCATTTTGACACATCATACATAAAGGGAGTATAATTTCTCATTTTTCTGGTTGTACATGATGTAGAATTACACCAGTTGTGCAATCATATATGTATTGGGTAATAAAGTCCAATTCATTATTGTACATACATTTTTACTGTTAAGTTTTCATAATGAGTTTAGCTACCTTTTCCTGCTAAAGTGAGTTAGACAATGTTCAAGGTCAAGATTCTGGTGCATGTAAGCATAAGACAAGGGATAAGGCCTAGACTGAAGATTCTGGAACCACTGCCTCCCACTCCAGTTTGCTCCTGTGGGTCAAGATGCATCTGCGAGCTCCCAGGAGTTGTCAGCATTAGGAAGTGGTGTTTTCTGTAGTCTGTGATTCACGTACCCATGGAGTATGGAGAGGAAGGAGGTGGAGTATTAAATGCTTGCACCTGTTCTCATGGCCACCCAGCTGGACTTTTGATTTGCCTCCCTGGCAACACTTGTGATCTAGTATTGCCATTAATTTTCTGGTGAAGGGAAAGAGCACTGATTGTCCTAAGTTAATTACTTTGATCTGTAATTTCTTTATTCTCTGTTAGTTCCCAGAAATGACTTTTGAGAGAAGGCCAGAAGCTCATATGCATTCTCTCTCTCTGTATTGTTCTTTTATGCTCTACCCACAGTTATTTCTGCCCCTTAAGCAAAACAATCCAGTCATCGCTATGAATTCTTGTCCACATTTTCTGTACCTAGAATGTTCTTCCCTTAGTCCTCTGACGGTTGACTTCTCATTAATTTCATCTTCCCTCAAATGTCACCTTTGAAGAAAGACCTTTCTTGCATGTTGAACATCACTATTCTAGGCACTATCATATTGTTTAGTTTGGTTTTTATAGCACTATCATATAAAATTGTTGTATTTTTTTTCTATCAGAAGGTAAGCTCCTTATAACAGTATATATATATATATATATATATATTGCTGGGGCAGATTCACAGTCTAGTAGAGAACTTGAAGTCTTATATAAATGTAATAAACTTTATAAAATAAATGAGCAAATGAATGAATGAAATAAAATTATTTATCTTATTTTCACTCTACTAGTGACTTCTTCCTGAATATAGGAAGTGGATAGTGGAATAGTGTTATATGTTTTCCTCTCTAATTTAAAATCTTCTTGTTTTATTACCTTCTAGGAGAGTTCTGCAAGCATATATTCTGGTTGATAAAGTTACTATCTATCTATCTATCTATCTATCTATACCCTTAATTGCTATATTTGTGGCAAACTAGATCATAAAAGGAATATGTTCTAAGTGTTCCATATATACCATTAAAATATTTTGACAGTGATGACATCAAAAAATATTTTTCAATGTGAGATCCAAAGCTTGGGGTATTTCCATTTTATGCAACTGATTTTAGATAGAAGTTAAATTTAAGATAACATTCTTCTTTAGTTAGCATATGTCACAATAATTGTTGCCAAATAATATTTTGTGAATATTTGAATGATCTTTACCACAGACCTGGAATGTGGGTAGGGTGTGATTTCTCATTTTTCAGGTGAGAAGAATGAGGTTCAGAGAGGTGAGGTAAGTGGGTGGCATGTCTGAGATATAAACACAGCCTTCAGTTATTGCCAGGTGCAATTGTTTTCTCACTATACAGGTGTCCCTAAGTCTATGCCATATTATTAGAGCAGAGTTTGGGGATTTCTCTGATTATCACTAAAAGATGTTTTAGCTTTCTTGGCTTGATTGTCAGTGGAGAAAACATTTAAAATAACAACAGATGATTAGAATGTGTTAGGACTATTTCAACTGCTGTACATGTAGTAACATGCTTACATATCCTTGTAGTCCTGAGAGGTTGGTGAAATTATGTTCTGTTAGCAAATGTGGACGATTAAGTGCCATGAGGTTAAGCTACTTGCCCAACCCACAAAGCTAGCAAGTGGTAGAGTTAGAACTATGAACACAGAAATGTGGCTTTTAATAATCATTCCAGTCTATGATAGCAGAAACTTTATAGTAGTTTATAGCTTACAGACTTTTCATATACATTACCTGTGGAGTCTCACTAACACTCTATGGAGAAGGAGGGCAGGATTTGACGGTGTACTAAGTTTCAGAGAAGTGATTTGACCAACTCCACCCAGATAGCATGTGGTTGAAATCATACTGAGATCCTTTCTTTTGAAAGGTAATTATATCTCTATTCTTAGATATGTTCCATTACCCATGATTTTATTAGCTTACTGATCTTGATATGTTTTTTTTTTTCTTTCTGATGGCGAGTTATGTGATTCTGGGCTTAAACTTTTAACCTATTTGTATCTAATGAATATTTTATTTCTTGTATTTTAATGCTCCTTGATAATGTCTCTTTCAGCTGAATTGCAGTGATTTCCAGAAAGGAGAAAAAGATGGGGATTTTATCTGTACTGCTGATGATGCTGCAGTTTGTGGCACAGATGGGAAAACATACCGCAACAGATGTGAACTGTGTGCTGAGAATCAGTGAGTGGTCTGCCTGTTCTCTGCATAGTCATAGGACGTCTTCCCCCCATCTTTAAGATAATTCATTTTGTGGAAGTTAACCACCCATAAGCCATTAGTACCACTTTTTTTTTACCACTTTTAAGAAAGGAGTATGTAGAGTTATGTGTGTAGCATAATCTTATATTTTACTTTTGTGTGCACTGTCATCACTGTCTTTATTAAGTAAACAGGATAGGGAGATTTTATATATGTGTGTGAATATGTATAATATCTATACACATGTGTGTATGTACATATATAGACATATATCTGTATGCAATATGGATGTTATATGTATACATGTGTGTCCTTAAACACTTCTATCAATCTATTTATCTAACATGCCATTTTATACAGAGATTGATTCCATCTCAAATGATATATGTGTTCATTAATTAAAGTAGTATTCATTAATTAATTAGAGTAAGAAATTGGACCTTTAAATAATGAATTTCTTCTCATCTATTTAATCTTTGCCCAATAGATAAAGCATCTCACTGCCCTATATTTTGCCCCCGTTTTATTCCTTCTCCACCCTGGAGGCTAGGCTTGGTTATTGATTGTTTTCCATCAACAAGATGCAGACCTGCTGTGCAGGTTCTGAATTGTGACCTCAATCTTGAGTTGTCTGCTCTTGAGTTTTTGCAAATATAATAACAAATGTATGAAAAGAGTAGTCGGGCCATACTCATTCTTTGATATTCTTTAAGTTTTATCTTTTCTTACAATAAGAATCTCCCACCAAAATAAAACTCTGATCCTTCACATGTTCAAAATTTCAGAAAACATTCTAGACTCTGAACTCCCACCAAGGGCCAATATAAAGAAACAGAAAGGAAAATAGACATGTGAAGAACATGCAGGTTGTTATGAGATATATTTATTTTGTAACACAATTGTAAACAAAAGAAAAACTTGTTTTTTACTGTCTTGAGTGAGGAATCCTGTCTAACATCTTCAAATCTCTAATCCAGATGAAAATTCCTCTCCTTAGATTTCTAGAATACTCCTTGTTATTATACACTGAGAAACATACTGCCCGTTAGGTTTCTTTTTTAATATTTTAAGAATTTAAAATTTAAATTTTAAGAATTTAAAATATTAAGAAAGAAATTTATTTCTTTCACAATATTTTAAGAATTTAATTTTAATAGTTTTTCTCAGCCAATATCATTGGAAAACAAACTTCTTTTCTTATCAGTCTTACATATTTTATTTTTATTTGTGTTATTTTTTTGTTATACAGATCTTAAATTGCAAGCTGCCTTTTTAGAAATTAGGAAGTGTCTTGCCTTTATGGTTCTATATTAACAGATAGTTTTTAAAGGTCTACTAGACTAAACAGAGTAAATTATCAGAATTTTAAGTACTTTTCTTGAAAAAAATAGATTAGTATTCAGTGTAACCCAAATGAAGAGAACTATAGTGGGATGCTGGATAATAAAAGCTTGAATTTGTTTACTAAAAATAACAAGAGCAACTACAGCAAAGTTCTTGAGAGCATCTTACATCTAATTACAAGTCTTCCTTTGGCCATCTTCTGATGTGAATTCCCACCCCAGACACAGGAAACAAAAGGTCTCTGGAAATTACATGCACAACTCTGAATGTTATCAGCCTTCCAACATGCCATTTCTTTGACTTCAGGTTCTAACTGAATAGGCTGTCATTAGACAACTGAAGTAAAGAATGGGATGTAGCACTGTTCTCAGGAGGAAAAAAGAATCAAAATACAATGCAGAGAAGCAAAGTGGGAATGGTGGGGAGTTAGTTCTGTGATATTAACTGGTAAATCTGCTAACTTGTGATTTCAGGAAGACCAGCTCCCAAGTTGGCATAAAAAGCGAGGGAAAATGTGAAAGCAGTAATCCAGAACAGGTGAGGACAGGAGTCAGGGTGGGGGAAAGCCATGGGTGGGTGGGGGGTGACCTCATAGAGAAAGTGAGTGCTGTCCTCTTCCTCTTTGGTGCATGCCTGCAAGGAAGTAGTTCTTGTTTTGCTTGAAATGGAATAGTGAATACACCAGCTAATATGGAAAAGTAGTTGATAGTTCCTGAAAAGAATCACTTTACTTCGGTGGTTAGACCTTCCAACTCTATTTCTGCTTTTATTTTTTAAAAAAATCAATCAATCAATCTAAAGGAAACTGCATGTGTGGTGAAAGGGCCCTAAAGTTCAGTCATTTAACCTGATTTGAAACTCCAGAGTTGTCATTTGCTGACAGAAGGCCTTGTAAATTACTTCACTAAAATGATATTTAGTATAAATAGCTACTTTCAATGCTGATTCTGTGAGTCTGCAATGGTAGGGGAAAAAAGAAAGTGTCACAGTGGGGCTTGACATTTTCTAGCTGAAGAACATTCCTGCTCTTCAGAGTTCAGTTCCCTTGCTTTAGGTCTCTGAGGTACTTAAGATTTACCTCCCTGAAGGATTTTAGCACATCCTATTTTAAATGTTTCTTTATCTGAATCTCCTAGGAGATAGTGAGCTACCTGAATTCTAGCACAATCATCATGCTTACTGCATTAATGAATGAATAAGTAAATAAGTAAATATACTTAAGTATATGAATTACAACTACTCATTGAGCTGCCTCTACACAGTTGGCACTGCTTTAGATGGCTAGGGCCATCATGATGCAAGAGGTGCTGGCTTCTGTAAAATTTATGAAAGCAGTGTTGTAAGTACTGCAGTCATTCTAACAAGTGCCAAGTTCCTTTCCCTGTTCTTCAGGATGTATGCAGTGCTTTTCGGGCCTATGTGAAAGATGGAAGACTTGGATGCACAAGAGAAAACGATCCAGTTCTTGGTCCTGATGGGCGAACACATGGCAATAAGTGTGCAATGTGTGCTGAGCTCTTGTAAGTATCCTCATACCCAGGTGGTCCTCTGAGCATGCACAGGGTTTCTTCCCAGGAATCCCTCCATGGAGCAAACATTCTTTTTAGGAAGCATGCAACCCTTTGTCTTTATAATGTAAAACAGGCTTTGCTTTCAGAATGGCTTGTTTTTCCTTTTTCTTCATATAATCAATTGTAGTTTCTAAAAAGGAGAGAATAAAGTGGTTATGCTCATTATTAAATTTGAGACCCTGCATTTTTGGAAATACCCAGTGTTTTATAAGGCATAATGTTTTAAAATTCAGAAACAATTTTATATAGAATGATCTAGGTCAGTAATTTTGCATGCATTGCTTCATTTGGGCATGTGGAGAGATCCTTGTTGAATAATGACAGTTTAACTTTGATAAAAATAATGATGATGATAATAATAATAGTGCCATGTGTCTGAATTCATTGTTAGTTTAAGTGAATGTAATAAAAGAAAAAGAACAATTGGGTGAACCTTTATCTGAGTGCCTGGCACTGTTTTAGATACTGGAGACTCAGATATGAATATGAGGCAATTAGTCTTTTATATTCTGTCTGTTAAACTAGGTGTAGACTCTAATCCTTGCAGCAGCAAGCCTTGAAGTGCTATATTTACATTACTGAATCTTTAAAATCAGGGCAAAAGAAGATTTAACAGATTAATAAACTTCACACTTGCTTTTGAAAATGACCGTCAGCAGTTGTAAATTCCAAGGGCATGTTCCATCAGGTTCAGGAGACAGTGATTATTATTGGTTTCCAGACAGGAAAGTGGATTTCCACTTTCTTACCTGGGAGGCATGTGCTTTTGGTGTTCAAACCTGCCCTAAATTCTGTAGTTTTCTGTTTTTTTTCAAGCACCAGCTGAAAAGAGTATTTGAGCTTTCTAAGCTGGTTCTTCCACTGTAGAAGTGATATTGCAATGCCTGTCTCCAGGATGAGACTATAATTAGGTAATAGATGTGAAAGAGTTTAGGAGCTCAATTCAAATTTAGCTTTTATTAACAACCATTCCTTTACATGAAGGCAAACAAATGCTTTAAGGTTTAAGAAGCTAAACACAAGGGCGTGGATAGCAATGCCTCAGATGTGCAGTTTGGTTTCACCTGTCACAGCATTGTTCTAAAGACCTTGGTTCTGCCTATTAGAGGGAATTTTCCTGACAGCCTCCTGTTTGTCAATCAAGGTGGCACACCCATCCACTCACAGAACAAAGCTTCTAATTGACTGGCAGTGAGTCAGTTTCACACCCTTCCTTATCTTTGGTAATTTCTCTGGCTCAAACATTCAAGACAGGGAAATGCTTGTCTCCTGTAAATGGATCAGTTTCAACAGGTTATGGCAGAGGACACAAAAGTGCTTAGAGTAAGGCTGGATTCTGAAAATAGGATCCAGCCATAAACTAACCAGCTGTTTACTTTCTGTAACAGTTTGAAAGAAGCTGCAGAAAATGCCAAGCGAGAAGGTGAAAATAGAATTCGAAGAAATGCTGAAAAGGTAAATGATTCACCAATATAATTTGGCTCATGTGGTCATGAACATTAACCAAATTATGCTTGAAAGTTTAAAATAATGCAATAATGTCATTGTCTTTTATTACCATGTGGCTTCTTCTGAATGTTAAAATTCCTCAAATTTATTTATTTATTTTTTAACTCGGGGCACTTGACCACTGAGCCACATCCCCAGCTCTATTTTGTATTTTATTTAGAGACAGGGTCTCACTGAATTGCTTAGCATTTTGCCATTGCTGAGGCTGGCTTTGAACTAGAGATCCTCTAGTCTCAGCCTCCAGAGCCACTGGAATTACAGGTGTGAGCCACTGCACCTGGCTGAAATTCCTCACATTGACTATTACATTGCTTAGATTTAATGTTAAAAAATCCACTAATTGATTATTCCTACTTTATTATCATTAGGTTCAGATTTAAACCAGCGTTTCCCATTCAAACCTCAAAACATGAATCTCCACCTTTGTTTCCTAGTCCCCCCAAAAGGATCAAGTTTGAGTATACTAAATCTTACTAATTTTTATCATCCTTCTCCCTGGCATGGCTTAAACCATTTTACCTTGAATAATATTTTAAACAATTGCAACATAATATAAATGAGGAATGACTTTAAATTCTTCAAACAATGTACTCCCTGATGTATTTTATAACAAATTCCTCTGACAGAGTTTAAAGTTATTCACTTTTCCATATGGTTATTACCTTATTGAGATCTGCATTTATAAAGGTATTGCCTTTGCTTAAATGAATCTCTCTAAAATTGAGATGGTGGTTCAAAAAAAAAAACTCTTAAAATGAAGGGGTTTTCGCCCCCAAAAAATTATTTGATAATTTAATTATTTTTCAATCTAATACAAAAAGTTATTCCTTTTGTTAACTAAAGAGTCACTGTAGCTAATGCAGTTTGGATTTTAAGTCACATCAAACCAACTTTAAATAAGAAGTACAGCAATTGCTTTGCTAAGTTACTGGCCTTTGTGAAGTTAGGACACCTGGGTTTTAGCTTTGTTTTGTCATGCTGTGGGTGTGTGAGACAAAGCAAATCTTCTCCTCTCTGGGTCTCAATTTTCTTGTCAGCAAAATAAGGAGGTTGGATGAATGACCTCGATTTCTTCTCTTCTTCCTGTTGGACTGTGATTCTACATCCTGCATTCTTTGTACTAACACAAACATTATTTTTGTGGATTGTAGGGTTTGTGTTTTCCTATGGAAAATACAGACACAGTGTTTGGAAATCAAGAGCAGACCTTCCTTCCACGTCACAGTGTTAGATAATGAAACAAAATTCCAAATTCAGTGGGGTATTCTGAGTTAAAATTTGAAGAAAAGGCTATGGAGAACCCTCCACAATGTTCTGGACACTCTCCAAGGATTGAAAGTAGTCCTTCCATGGTGGTTGGTAAATTTTGGTCTAAGGGTCCTGTGATAGGTAGCATTTATTACTCCCGAATACAGGAAGTTGTTCTCCCCTGGTTTTCTCCGTGTCTGGGCTACTCTGGCTTCTTCTTTATGTGGCTGGGGTCATTAGGAGTAACTGCATTGAATAGGACTGCCTAATACTGATGGCTCAATATGGCTCTATAATTAACCTGTCAGTGGGTTGCTCACAAAAGTGTTTCTTCAGAATCTCCTTGGATGAATCACAACTTATAAACCGAAATTATCATTGTTTCCCTTATGGGAATCATTAGGCATTGATTTTATTACCGTGTCATGATTATCAGCATCTGTTTTCCTAGATTGTTACAACCAGGAAGTTTGGCACATACCCTTTACTCCTCCATAAACAAGTACCTTATTATAAGGAGGCAATTAGGATTCTCCTTTAAAGCACCCTATTGAAATTTGAATCATAAAGAAAAATCAGAAAATGCTTGATCTAAAACAGATCCTTGAAATCTTCTATTCCCAAAACCTCACTGTGTGGGTGGCAATGTTGAGTTCCCAAAGGTGATGGGACTTTGTTACGGTCTCCCAGTGAGTCGAGCCGCAGTCTGACTGCCCAGGTTCTCTGACTCCCAGTCATCCTCTTTATGCTCATGTTTCCTTGGTTGAAATGGAAGGATGAGGGTCACACAGTTGAAAAGTTTATATAGTAAATTTTTTAAATAGTTTACATATTATAGTAATATATGCCATCACAGCATATGATGTGGAGATCTCAAACCCAGAGGAATTTGGGGTATGTTTTTTTTGTTAAGTATAGCCCTCACCAAATAGAGCTTTCAAAACACAGGGGGGAAACCTGAAAGTTCTTTCCAAAGCTTCAGGAAATCTGAGAAGGAATCTCTCTCTGGTTACTTCGATAATTCACAATCTTTTTAGGTTATCTAAGTAGATATTAGTCTTGATGGTCTGTCAATCTCTTGAAGGTAGAGGAGAAAAAAATAGATTCACTCTTTCAGAGGTTTTTAACCTATCATGTCAGAAACTCAATAAACAAGGATAAAGAAAGCAGAGTACACATAATGCTGGACACAATCTTATTCTCTTTCCCTTGCAAATGAGGACTGGATTATTTTTGACTTGATCCTTATTAAGTAAAATTTAAACATCTAATTTCTTGAATTCAATCTTTTGTCCATTGGAATTTTTTTTTTTTTTTTTGTCTTGGCTAGTTAGTATTTTGTTAGGTTCATGTGGGAAAAATCTTGGCTTTTTTGTTATTGTTGTTCCTATGGATTAGGAATTAGCAAGATCTAGTTTTAGTTTTAGGAAATACTCTTTCTTTTTTCTTAGGCTGTTTTTGCCTTTTAATAACAGATAAAAGTGCCAAATAACTTTACAAATTGATTATTATTCCTCATTAATTCTCCTTAGTATGTTGTTTGTGTTTACCAATACTTCCAGACCTGACATCCTGTGATTATATCATATAAAATGTCAAGATTAAAGAGTAAAAAATGGTGACTATAATGCCTTGTCTTTTTAAGGACCTCTGCAAGGAATTTGAGAACCAAGTGAGGAATGGGAGACTCTTTTGTACACGAGAGAGTGACCCCATCCGTGGCCCTGACGGCAGGATGCATGGCAACAAATGTGCGCTGTGTGCTGAAGTTTTGTGAGTACAGAACAGGAACACTTTCCAATCTCTGGAAAGGAGGAGTGAAGGCTCACCAGGACTGATCAAACATCCATTTGATGTTATTCAGAATAATATCGAGTGGAAGTTTTTGTCCGTGAGAATTGTGTGAGCAGTTTATGTCCTCCGCAAATCACAATACCATCAGTAAGTTAGCACTAATTTTTTAAAATATTTTTTTAGTTGTCAATGGACTTCATTTTATTTATTTATATGCAGTGCTGAGAATCGAAACCAGTGCCTTACACATGTTAGGCAAGTGCTCTACCACTGAGTCACAACCTCAGCCCTAAAGTTTTGTTTCTTTTTCTGAGTGCAAACTGACTCCCTTTTCCAGTTAGAGGGCTGATTTCGAAAACACTTCTTCACATTTCCCCCGGGGACCTTTGTGAGCCGCTTCAGTACCCAGTCGTAGCACAGAATGGGTTAAAAGCAGATTCCAAGATTTGTTTTTCTTTAGTAATTACATCATTGTGACAAAGTTGATAGAACAGCCTCAAAAAAAATTGTTTACACATATTTTAATTGTATTTCAATTACCTTTTTATCTGGAATGTGTGGCCTTGGGAAAAGGACAAATACCACTATGTATCAATTATGACATTTATGAAGATGTCCCAGACAAGTGTCATTACACTTTCCTTCAGATCCCTGAGTTCTATAAGCTCTTACCCGCTTGCTGTGTGTTGCCAGTGTCTCTCAATCTTGGCATTTTAAGATTCTCTTACTTGGATAAGAACTCTTGAAGTCCTTAATCAAAAATCAATCCTCAGATCCTTGGTAATGTTTTTTAATAACAATCATCACAGTTTGTAATTGTATAACTGTTTCTGTGACTCTTTGTTGATTATCACCCTAGTGGACTATATGTGTCAAGAGAATAGGGGACAGATTCATATATACATGATCGTATACCCAGGCCAAGGCCAAGAATTACCAAAAAATAGTTGCTAACTAAATGATGGGTGAAGGAATGAATAAGTAGATATATAAATGATGATCTCTGCTGTGAAGAAGCTTATGGTTAATAGCAGAAATAAGCCATGGACATGAACGCACATGCACATACATGTTTACGTGTTGTAAGACAGAATGAAAATTATTCTATAACAGAAGAATTTTGAGGTATAACAACACAGTGATTTACAGAGAGCTCATGTCTCTATAGGGTCTGGAATGACCTCTTCACAAATTTAAGCTGGGAATATTTAAAAGGAGAGATGAGAAAGAAGATCTTTTTAGTGGAGCTTAAGATGATTTAGATGTGCTTGTGCCAGAATCCAGGAAAACTTGGCTGCTTTTCTATCTATACCTAAGACTATTTTTCAGCATGAAGTTTTAAAGCACCTCTACTCATTTTTTATTTATTTTTCCAGCTTGAGGAACTTTTCTGAAGAAAAAAATAAATCAGATCAAAATCTGATTGAGAATGAAGAAAATGTTAAAGTTAAAAGAGAAATTGAGGTGAGGAAGAGTCTGATCCATCTGGTCATGACCTTTTGTGTGAGAGGTTTGGATGTGTGGGCATATTACTCTAATATGCACTTTCAATTTTGTTTAATATTTTCCCTACTACTAACAAGTTTTCTGGAAATTAATTTATATTTATTGTTTTAAACTTATAAAAATGATTATATCATTACCATTTCTTGATCCATGTGGAGGAAAATAATCAAGGCTCATTAGTAAAAATAATTCCACATTCCAAATGAAAGTGGTATATTCAAACATTGTCTGAACTCAAAGTGTGTTGTATCTCTTCCATAGTGTGGTAGCTGCTGTGAAGATATTCATTTTAAAAGCAATAACCATGTACAAATTCAGTATGCTTCCTTTAAAATCATGCTGCATTCATTTTCTAAACGTCTCTTAACTTACCATCTGCCTGTTTTTCTATTGCTGTTATCTTAGCTCAGACACCTCATAGTTTCCCTTTGCACAGGTGCATTGTCTCGTCTATAAACTTGAAATACACTTAGTCTCCATCTTCCTCAGTCCTCATGATCCATTCACCCTCCCTGTTGTCTTCATAGAACAGGAGATGTTTCATGAGTCCTTGGCATTATGAAATTCCAATGTTTAAAAATATCCTAGAGTATATTTGAGTCATTTATTGAAATGCTAGAAATCTATTGTGCAGAAATCCTATTTAGATTTATTCTTACTGTTACCAGCCTTCTCAGATACATAGCTTAGTTTGGCAGAGTGACCTGCCCCATTTAAGCTGCCTCTGTGTAACTCCATCTTGTTGCCTAGGCTTTAATTTTAACTTCTTTCTTCCTCTTTTTTTAAAAATATTTTTTAGATGTATGGACCTTTATTTTATTCATTTATTTATATGTGGTGCTGGGAATTGAACCCAGTGCCTCACATGTGCTAGGCAAACACTCTGCCACTGAGCCACATCTTCAGCCCATTCTTTCTTCCTCTTAATATTAGTTTACCACTTTCTTCTAATTTTAGTGCTCAAATATGCCTCGACTATTCAATTATCTCTCACTTCCAATTCCTCCCTTCCCCATCTCTCCCCACCTTGGTTCGTTCCTTCCCATCCTCCTTTCTTTCTGTTTCTAGAATCTGGTTAGTTTCTTTAATTTCAATCTCTATTCACTCAATTCCTTCACAAATTTCTTTGACAATCTTTCTGTAACAAATATGATTCTGTCATTCTCTGCTCTATGTATTTATCATGTTTTCATTGCCTATGGATAAAATCCAAATTCCTTTGGAAGTTTAGAGGTCTGATTTTGATCATATTCAAGGTCTCCTTTTTGACCACTTCCCAAACCTTTCTTTTTTTACACAACTAATTGTTTAGCCACTATACTCAAGGAAATGTTAAATTATCTCTAAAGAACATGTAATATAATACTGCCAGGATTTTGCATATCATAATTCCTCTTGAAGGACTTTTGTTCCATGGTGATCCTGTGTACATCCTCAAGACAGAACTTAGTCAAAAGTTCTTAGAACTTCCATTACACAATTAATCTAGGCCTGAGTTATATTTCTTAGCCATGTATATTGAAATTACTTATTCTATTTGGCTAATAGAGGACCTAAATCACATTCATATTTGTATGCTCTTCATGTATTTGTTGAATCCTTAAATTGATGAATATTGCAAGAAGGGAAGTGTTAACAAAATTTTTGGTAGTCCTAAATCCTAAGTTTTATTTATTTTTTTCATCTGAAATTTCTCTTTTCCAATTTCTTTGAATAAACAGCATACAAAGTTTACAAATAGAGACCTATGTCTAAAGTATCTCATTTTCATTATTCAGAAACAATGCAGTGAATATCGAGATCATGCAAAGAAGGGGATACTTTTCTGTACCAGAGAAAATGACCCTGTTCGTGGTCTAGATGGAAAAATGCATGGCAACCTGTGCTCCATGTGCCAAGCCTTCTTGTGAGTATCGAGTTTTAGAATGTCACATGGTGCCCTAGTACAGCCAGTTTGTTCCATAGATAGGGAAACCATGGTGCAAGATTGGAGAGTTGAAAGGGTCACAAGCACAATGCTGCAGTAGAGCTAAAAGTAAGTAAATGCTCAGAGTCATTTAAGTTGCCTTGTTTTCTCTTGATGTTCACTCTCTTAGCACTGGAACCTCCTGACAAACATAAACTTATAAAAATCGTAGTTGCTGCTTTGTTGCTGAAGCTTCATAGGTGAACCTATTTGACAAAATAGGCACCTCATTTTCCATGGGGGTTGGAGTCAAAAGTTAGCACTGATAGAAATTGAATGGAATTGCCAAATTTCTCTAAAATTATCTTAAACATTACTTTATATACTCTGACATTTCTAGTAAGTGAGAACTAATAGTTTCCTCTAACTATTTAGAATAGTTCTTACTTTATTTGGTTATGCTCAGACTAAGTATTAGACTATATCTAGATTATTAAAAAAGCTATATTTAAATTTTGTTCTGGTTAATAGCCATGTACAGCTGAAATACCATCAGGTAACTCTGCATACCATACAATTGGATTGTACAAAACAAATTTAAGGTCATTTGGTTTATCAATGTATGGAAATCATGATTTTTTTTGCCTGTTGGTATCATCTTTTGGCTTTTACAGTAAGTAGCTATGAATAAACACTGCATTTAAGTTTAACTGAAACCCACTGTCTACATGATGTGTAGATGGACCGTGGTCTTGAGGGAGGATACTTTGGTTGCAGTCACATCCTGAAAACAGAGATAGCCAAGGCCTTTCTGCCTCTCATCCTTTCTGAGAAACAAGAAACAAGAGAATGAATCAGTGAACTTGGTTAAAGCTGCTTTCCACCTCCAGATGTTATATCACCATTATTCTAATTCTGATATCTATCTTCTTTGTGAACCTTGATGATCTTTTTCTCACCATATGCAAGAAGGATAATTTACAGAAAACAAGTTTTCCAGATACACTATTGCCATCTTTTTTTTAAATGTTAAGTAGCAACTATAAAGAAGTCATTATACCAAACTGGAGGTATTATACCAAACCTGAGGCTACTTTGTTGCTTCTTTTTGATATATCATGATAGAGGGAAAGGGATGCTCCTCCTTAAGAGGGAGGAAAGATCAGTGGTGCAGGCATGCAAAAAAAAAAAAATCAGCACATGTTTGCTCTTAATGGATCTCTTCTATTTTCTTTTTCATTCAGCCAACAAGAAGCTGAAGAAAAGAAAAAGGCTGAAGCCCAAGCAAGAAACAAAAGAGGATCCGAAAAATCACCTTCATATGAAGTGAGTGGGATCCATCTAACAAATCCTCCTCTAACTGAACACCTCAAAGAAACTATCAGAAAAACCCAACCCTTCAATCCCATATAGCATTGAGTTGAATGCAGTGGGATATTGTGCTCTACTTGGATCTTCAGAAACTAACTTGTCAACTATAAAGAACTTCTTGGAGTCAATAATTGAGTTCCAGTTCTAGTTTCAACCTTTCCAGATAGAGGCTTTTAGCTATTGCTAAGTACTGTCCAGAAAAACAGTACATGTGCAATTTCTCCAGAAGAATACCTGAAATTTCATATCTGAGTCTAAATAAAAATGCCCTGATTCTATAAAAGACATGGATTTTACCTCTGAAATATTACAGTATTCATTAGATGAATGATTAGCACAACCTGTTGTAATGAGTGTTGCTTAATTCTCTCTCTAGATTCTGTCCTTTCTCTTATCCTCCTCTTATCCAAACATTAACCTAATACAGTAAAAGTAATATTGCAAAATGTAAATCAGGTCATAATACGACTCTACTTAAACCCACAGTCACTCCTTTTCAGCTACAGGATACAGTTTAGTCTCATCCCTCTCTCTTAATTTGCTTCTTTACCTCCATTCAGAAATCCACTTTCTACTATATGCTATATAATTTTGCATCTGTGTCTCTTGGCTTGTTTTATTTTCACAATATAGTGCACATATTCTAAAGTTCATTTTTTTTTAATCTAGGAAAATGCTACTTTTGACAGACTTACTTAAATTATTCTTGACATCTTTCCTGGTTTCCACCATCAAATTCCATGATCACAGACATTTAGTTGTCAGATATATTATACCTGTATATTTTCATTTATTTTATTCTGTTCAGTTTATGGTAGGGTTTGCTTATCTACCTCTTATATCATCTTGAGGTGTTCTATTATTTCTTATGTGTGGCCATTTCTTAGAAAATGATATTTTGTTATTGTTGTTGACTTAAATTTTACATTTAAGAGAAATATAAGTAAACTCCTGGGCTTATCAAACTATAACACTAATGTAGGCCAATGTAGATGTTTGAATTAACTTCCTTCCCATACCATGGCAGGAACTTTGCAGTGAATATCGACAGTTGGTGAGGGATGGGAGACTCCCCTGCACCAGAGAGAATGACCCCATTCAGGGCCCAGATGGGAAAATGCATGGCAACACCTGCTCCATGTGTCAGGCCTTCTTGTAAGTAGAGTCACAGTCAGAGAAACAAGGGAGGGCATTACTCTCTGCTTCCTTTTATGTTCAACTTGGAGAGGAACTACTTCAGTAGGGAACTACAAGAATTAAAAAATATTTGAAGAAACTGCCTCATTGGAGAAACATATAAAAACCATGTCCTTACACTTAGGCCAGGGAAGAGTCACAGTTTTGAAAGATCTAAGAAGTGAAACAGACTTTTCTAGGTTGCCTCCATGGAAAAAATTGAGGTCAGTGAGCCAGTGGGTGAAAGCTCTGGAAGACAGGCTCCAGCTCAATGCCAGGAAGAACTTCCCAACAGTTTGATGATTCCAAAAATGGAATGACTTACCATTGAGTGTCAAGAATGATATAGGTAAAGGCATTAAATGACAGATTAAAGCAAAAACTCGATAGTCATCATAGATACAGTACTGAGCACTGGAAGTTTAGAAAACCCTCTCTGACCCAGGGTCTAAATTCTTCACTTGCACTTACAGTTCTGTCCTTGGATAAGTTAGGAATTCTGTCTGCTTTCTTATTAGAAAAAAATGGGTTAAAGTAATAGTTTTACTACATAAAGTCATGCCTATTTCATAGTATGAGCACAGACTTAGGCACACAGTAAGAATTTAATACATGCTAATTGACTGTCAGATTTTGTCTGAGATTACTTTCAATCTGAAAATTCTCTGATTCTTTCTCATATCTTTTCTTCAACCACTCTCATTTAGCCAAGCAGAAGAAGAGGAAAAGAAAAAGAGGGAAAGTTTGTCAAGAAATAAAAGACAATCTGATTCCTTTGAGGTGAGCTACCCTTTTGAATAAGTCAGAGGCATATGAACCTGGGGATGAGGAGGTGGCATTGGGAAAACGTGAATTCCCTGAAACCCTATGAAACCTTTGTATAGCTGTTGTTTTCCTGTGTTTGCATCTGTGTGTGTACAAATGTGATTTTCTTGCTTGAGGATCCATTGATAGTATC